AATATTAAGAGCAATAGATTTTTTTAAACACAGTTGATAAGTTTCTAATTTTTGTGGTAATACAGACTGTGAGAAACATCGACGACTAAAACTAAGGAAATCAGACACAACTCAAGTTATTTCTAATAAATAATAAACCACAAGCTCTGGTTTTACCTGCCATCAGTGAGAGGATCAGCAGACAGATGCTCTTCATTTTCTTTACCTTGTGCTAATGACATCAAGTATGGTTCAGTTTTACCTCTGGCATTAGTCACTTCCTCTTCTGCATTTCCTGAATAAATCTTTTTTTAGGTTATCTACAAACTAAACGCCCGTCACTCACGCTCATCTTCCTTTTCTCCGTTTCACTCATGTTGGTGGTTTTTTTTTTTTTTTTTTTGGTGGGGTTAAAAACTCCTGAACGTGTCTCAGAATCAGCCACATTTAACAAAGAAACACAAAATGATTTTGAATAAAGTATAAGGTACAGAAAATATTATTATTGTGGTTTAATGTACTTGTGAGTGCTTCTAGTAAGTAAGCAAGTACATTTTATTTATAGTTACTGGATAGACATTGTGCTTCACAAGGAACAAAACTAAAAAAAATACAGACACACATCACGAGTAAAAGCATACAATAAAACATGACTAATAAAACATTTAGTTTTGCATTTAACTAAAAGCTTATCTGAACTACAGAGTCTTAAGCTGCTTTCAAATGAAGTCACATGGGGCTGGGCGGTCCATATTCTAGGGGCTTTTTCTTGAAAGAAAGAACAGAAGTACAGTTTGATATCATCAGCATATATAAAAAGACACAGTCTGAAGCTGCTGATACCGAGGGGGCTGATGCACAGAGGGAACAATACTGGGCCAAGAATTGAGCCCTGTGGAACACCATGTAACAGAGGAGAGGCATTGGGTGTTATCTTGTTTATTTACAAATAAAGAACTTAGCAGCACAATTTGGATATCATCAGCATACATGATAAGAACCATTTTGAAGCTGCTGATACCGAGGGGGGCTAATGTAGAGAAGGAACAATACTGGGCCAAGTATTGAGCCCTGTAACACCATGTGGAGAGGCATCGGGTGTTATGTTGTTTATTTACAAATAAAGAACAAAGCAGTAAAGTTTGAAATCATCATCATCAAAGCCCTGCATCTGGTTCTGCCAGCATCAAAGACAGTCTCAAATCTGACAGTTCCTCTGCGGCGATCATGTTCCCTCAAAATAAAAATAAAATAAAAAAAGAGGGAAAGGTTAAATTGTGTTTCTATTTTGACTTAATTTGAAAATAAATTTCTGTTTTACTTAATTTATTTAATCAGTTTGTTTTTAAGTTAATTTTCATCTGTTTGGCTCATTATCACTGCATATTTATTTTCTTGAATACTTCATTCTTTCCAATTGTTGGGTTTTTCAACTTTATTATTGGGGTGGATTAAAAGAAAAAACTTTCCTGGATGGGGTGGAAAATAGTGTGGGTTTAATTTCCTAAGTATGGTTTTATTAGGTTTCTCTAAACAGTTTCTCAGACAAAGTAATATCATAACATCCTGATGTCATGTTTTTGTTTTGTTACCTTTTATTTATTTAAATTCTTATAGCATGTCGTTCCTTTTTATTATTTTTATTTTTCTTTAACATTTTATTTTCAATATTTGCTTCAAGTCACTATTATTTTCTTGGTTGATTGCTTATTTAATATTTCATCTTATGCATTGTTTAGACCCATAATTGGTTCAAATTTTTGGAATGACACACAATTATTTTTCCAATTTTATTTTAATGACCAATGTTTGATCAAGAGGAAGAAATTGTCTTGGAAAAATAAATTATCCTTTAAAGTCCTACATTTCTTCTCAGGCCAAGAGTCAGTGACCTCTTTTGCTTACTTTAAAATCTCGTTATGTTTTATGATTTTACTCTTTATCTTCAGTTTTCTCTCGGACAAAGTGTTTTTAGATCAATATCTGTTTAGAAGTAATTATTCTTGTTGCTGTTTATCAAACATCATTCTCCCCTTGGCCCATTTTGTCTGTTTGGATAACACACTGTATAAATGTGTGTATTTGAAACTGCCTCGGTGCACACATTCTGTACAGTGGCGACTGGCCAATAGGGGGCGCTAGGGCGCCGCCCCTCCCTGTTTTTGGTAAACACACACAATAAAATAAAATAAAATAAAATAAAATAACCAAATAAAACGTTGTAAATGTTTTATGAAATATTGTATATATGTTTTCTGATAAGTAAAATAAATAATTTAGAGATATTATGAACTTCCATTTTACTCAAGAGCTTTTTTGTGATGAGTCACTTCCGGGTCACGAGCGGTTCGGCGCTCGTAGACAAGTCATTGGAAGATTTTGGACATGCGCAGTAAGTCCCCAATGCAAAAGAATGGAGTGGCCTGTGGTGCAGCTCGTCACCGCCCCGCAGCTGACCTCTGGTAGTGGGTCCACCCTGTCGACGACCCCCTGTCATATTAACGCGGCAGCCGGCAGGGCTTCAGGATCCGGATTTTGGAGAACAAACGGGAATGAAGGAGAAAACAACACCGTAAGTCTCTTATATCTAAACCTTTTCAAAGCAGAACGTATGAGGAGAAACTTAAAGTAGCTTTGACTGAATAAGCCCGACATAAAAATTGAGCAAAAACGTGGTTTAGCATTGAAGCTTAGCTACATGTTGTTAGCCATGTTATGTAACAACTGCTCAATAGGTCCTAYATCTGAATGAATGAAATATTCTCATTGAATACTTTCTTCTAAACAAAGTTGAATGTGCTGACAACTTGTGAAACTGTTTGTCATCAGTGTTACTTCCTAAGTGGACAATGTGATTTCACAGAAGTTTGATTTACTTGGAGTTATATTGTTTTGGTGTTCCCTAATGGTGAACAAAACTTAAAGAGTAACTTACCCCAAAATTAACTTTTTTTTTTTAGCTGATAAACTGTCTAGAATGTGTCTAAAATGTTATATAGTACTGTTTCTGTGCTAATTTTGATGTTTTTGTGCGTATTTGTTCAAATCTGTAATATTTGGTCTAAAAACGTGTTTTTGCAGCTCATATGGGTAGAGCAGTGGTACTGCAGGCTAATTTGCATATTGGTTAACGGCTCTCCGCTGTGACGTGCTTCTGCACAGTTTCGTCACAGCGG